CCATGCGAATTTTGGAGGGAAGTGTTCCATAATATTGCATACTTGGTGAGGAAGAAGCTTTCCCGAGTTTTCGATCTGTATATTTCAATCCTTACCGTAGATACTTTGTTTAGAAGTTCGTATTCATGTGAATCTCTAGCAAGAAATATTTTACATGTTGAATAAGTAAGGTTCTTGAGTAGTTTAAAGTAGAGAATCAAATTAGACCTGAGCCTTCTCTCCCAAAGGAGTGCTATTCCCAAGACTTGGCATCGGGTATTGTAGTCAATGTCTGAGTCAGTATTAAGTACTTTGCGGGTGAGGTCTCGTTGTATTCCTTCCACCTTTAGTATATCAGATAGGCGTAGGTTGGAAAATAAGAACGAGCAGTATTCAACGACAGGTCTTACACAAACTTTATAAAGAAGGATTTTAGATTCATTTCTAAAGAAATTACGGAGAATGAAGCCTAACAATTTCCGCATTCTAGCTGCTTAGGCTGTGATGTGTCAAGTAGAGTTAAGACTGTGTGGATAATTTACCCCTAGGTCAGTTACTGATGCCAGTCTGGGCGGTGTGTGGTTGCTAAGTGTTGGTTTTATTTTAAGAGACGTGTCTCCTATACATAACCAGCTGCATTTCTTTGTGTTGAGCTCTAACCTCCAGCGTTTGCATCATTCGTCTACCATGTTGAGTTCATGTTATGTTGTTTGCATAGTACTACTTAAATCGCAAATGTCAGTTTTATAAATGACTTTTAAGTCATCGGCATAGAGGTAGGTCTTACCTGTGCTAAAGCACTTGCATGTATTGTTGACGTAGAATATAAAGAGCAATAAACCCACGACACTACCCTGCATAACACCATTGGTTATTGGTCGAGATGAATATGTATTAGAGTTAATTTTTGTTATTTGATATCTGTTCGTAAGAAAAGACGTGATCCATTGCAAAAGGGGATCTATAATTCCAACTGACTTAAGTCTGTTGATTAGAAGATTATGAGATACTTTATCAAAGGCTTTCTTAATGTCGAAGTATAGTATAATAACTAGTTTCTTCTGGTCGCGTATACGAGTAACCACTCCTAGGTAAAAGTTATCACGCAGATTTAACTTTTGACTTCCATATAACTGTCAGTCACAAGCACGGGTCAGCCCAATCAAGACCTAACTTCTGGAAAGCAAACATACCAGATATCATGCACTCAGCATCGTTAGTAGATTGGACAATAGACCCGGTGTCCTCAATTGAAACGGCTTGGGATGCATTTCGAAATTCATACTTAGTGTTACCTCACCACACATCCTTGGACTATACCAAGGGGGACGAGAAACTTCACACCATAGTTCAGTAGGGAGGTTCGCATCCTTCTCCGTAAGAAAAGAAAAGTGTGAGATAGATTTAGGTTACTGGGGACGGATGAAACAAAAACTCAGCATCGAAAAAATCGGGATACCTGTGTCTCGACCCTTGTAAGTCTAGAAAGTTGTACGAGGAAAAAACTGTTATGGAATCCGAAGATTGTCGTAAACGCTTGTATTCCTATATAAAACAAAGGACAAAGAGAAGAGGAAATATTCCTGCTCTGTGATGAGACAGTACTGCCGCATCATTAGTGGAGGACGACTTTGGTAAGGCTCAAGTATTCTCGAAGTACTTTAGCAATGTATATACCATTGTAGGATCCTTCCCGTTTGCGCATATAGATCCCCACACACATACGCTGGATAGCGTGATCACTAAAAAACTCGATATCTTTAGTCTATTAAATAAGCTTAACATAGGTAAATCCACGGGGCCCGATGAATTACATCCTAGTCTACTGTAGGAATTATCTAACTTCGTTGCAAACCCTTTAAGTATATGCTTTAGCACATCCGTAACGCAGGATCGCTTATACAAAAACTGGAAAAATGCCATAGTGATTCCTGTCTTCAAAACAGGTACGAAACACAAACCTGAGAATTACCGCGTCGTTATCCTAACAAGTATGGTTGTTGAGATCTTAGAGAAGATTATTCAGAAGGAGCTGTTTAAGTATCTCGATAAAAACCAGATCCTTTCGGAGAAGCAGCACGGTTTCAGAATAGGTTACTGTTGTATCAATTACTTGTTAGTGGCTGGTGAAAGCTGGTGCACACTTAAGGACCAAACGTCACCTGTAGACGTCGCCTTCATTGATTTCAGTAAGGCTTTTGACAAAGTTCCGCACAACCGGCTGTTATATAAATTAAGAAAAGTCGGGATTGGGGGCAACCTATTCATGCGGATAAAAGACTTCTTAGTTGTGCGTCAAGAATGAGTTCTGGTGAACTCAAAGTTATCTAGCTGGGGGACTGTGCTAAGTGGAGTGCCACAGGGTACAGTTTTGAGGCCAGTGCTATTCCTCTTGTATGTAAATGAGCTTCCTTGTCTCCTATCCTCATCGGTCTTGCTATACGCTGACGATGTCAAGATATGGAGAACAATACGATGTAAGAGTGATAGCTTATAACTTCAAAATGACCTGAACAAGTTATCTGAATGGTCTCAAACATAGCAGTTGCCGATAAATACTTCCATGTGTGTTGTGATGCATATCGGTCATCAATGTACAGATACAGACACGATGGATAACACTGAGCTACCTGTCGTCCGAACATATAATGACTTAGGAGTTATCGTTAGTCAAGACTTAAAGACTACTGCACACTGCCGTGCAATAGCTGCCAATGGTTTTAGAACGTTATGGTCAATACATAGGGCTTTTAGACATGTCGACGCTAAGACGTTTTTGACTATGTATGGAGCGTTCGTGCGTCCTGTACTTGAGCACTGCATACAAGCGACTAGTCCCTGCTTAAAAAAAGACAGTGAGATTCTGGAAAAGGTTCAGAGAACGGCAACTAAGCTGATTCCCAGAATAGCGAAGCTTCCGTATGAAGCTCAACTGGCTAAGCTGAACCTTTTCCCGTTGTCGTATCGCAGAACTAGAGGCCACTTGATTACAGTTTTCAAATTGCCTAATGCCAAATTCGCACGTGATATGTCCTCACTTTTCTCGTATTCCAAAACAGAATTTACGAGGACACTCCAAAACAGTTCACAAGCCCAGAACAAATAACTTGTCAGCTGACTATCGACTTTTCCATCGAATCATCAACGTGTGGAGTTCACTATCTCAGCACGTAGTTGGGGCTCCATCCGTTGACTCTTTCTCAAAGGAAAGTTGGATCAACTGAGAGGCCACCATTGCCAGGACTAACATAGGCCATCGAACCTCCTGTCCTCAAACTGAAACTGAAAGTAAAAGAAAGGGTGAAAGGCAGAGCAGCCATTGTTCATGAAAAGAAATTTAATGTATGTCTACTCTGTCTAATTTTATTTTATTAGAGCATTTACTAAGCAGGAGCATTCTAATGGGTTAAAGAAGATAAGTGTGAGCAATTTATGACTAAATAAACAGCTGACAAACGAACGTGGGGACCAATTGGGAGATTAATCTCCCGAGTTTGGGTAAATGCACGAACTTCAGTGGCCTCCCTTAAGTTTCGGGGAATATTAGGGAAAAACTCAACATGTTAGGGAAGTTCCCAAGTTATGGAAAATGTTTGAGATTTCGGAGCTACTTTTCAACAATTTTCCATAACGGGTCTAGTTTTCCAAGAAACTGGGAGATTGTGAAATATCCTTTATCTACAAATGTTCGATAACACTGGGAAAATGACACAAAACCCATAAAAACGTCCCCAAGTATTGAGAAATTCCCCAAAAACTTTGAAGGAAAACCTCAAAATCAGCAGGTTGGGATTAGATAACATTCAGTGAGAATTCGGTCAGGTTAGGAGTTTAGATGTCTTTTTTCAGTCCTCCTGGCCCGATTTTATTTCGAATGCGTTGATATATGATGCTTCCACCACATCATAAACTGACTTCTACTGGCTGATGGTTCGATGGGAAAGTTTGAACTCAAGTCTCTAGTATTTAGTCCCAGGATCATTAATTTTTTAGATTATTGTACATTGTGATCGGCAAGAAACATGATGCCACGTCTGATATAGAATTATGGTTGATTAGTTTGAAGACCATAATTACCATCTCTAACAGAATGAATAAGTTTAGTTTGTCCAGTCTCATCATACACCATGTTTGAGGTTTCGGGAATCTGTTCAGCTACTGCTTCTGGAAACCTTCCCAACAGCTCACTAACTCTCTCAGACAGGTTAACTTTTCATCTTAAATGGCTGGTAAATTATGTCCTAATTTTGCAATAAGACTAATTCGTTGTTTTGCAGTATTCATAAAGATACCAGATAGCAGCCCTTTTTATGTTTTAATATTCCATAATAGTTGGTTTTATATCGATAGCCTGGTAGGTAATCCACTGGATCTTTAAATATTGGATCCGTGGTTCAAACTTTATCCGTACCTACTCATAAAGGTAGTCGAATAGTATTACCAGTTCTAACACAGAAATTGTGACTCAAAGCGGAGCATGTGAATGTTTGCTAGGTTTATTGGGCTCAATTGGTGTTTACATTCTGGTCCAAACTGCACTAATCAATTAGAGAAAGCATGTCAATCGCATCAAACCATATTACTTTTCTATGGGTCACGGTGCTGCGATCTAATTAACTCACTTTGTCCGGAAATATCGTATTTTCTAATTGGGTCTGGTCATCTTTGCAGTATCGTGTATTAATACATTACAAACCGTTGTCACTTGAGAGTAGACAGTTACTACAGCTTCGCTTTATATCTACTCGTGTTCCTGTTAGCTTTTTAATCACTTTGTTATCCCGTATATTCATCTCACCTTGATGCACAACGTGACAAATTAGACTGGGATACATTCATATAAACTTCTTTGTTATTTATTTTATTCATTTTTTTGCACCACGAAATAAATATTATTATGCATTTTTATGGAAGCAGTTATTCTGTTGATATTTTATATGGTGTTTTAGAAATTGGTTGAACAATGTTTTAGCATAACGTATCTTGGTTTCTTTTCAAATACTGTTAATAAACAAACTCATATGCTACTCAATACATGTTCCTCGTCCGAGAGATCATCGTGGTCAAAACATTGTCCACAGTTCGATAATATCCAATTGAAATGTCTGCCGATCGACAATGGATCCAATAGTATACGATCTGTACCGAATGCTTGTTTCACACAAGTCAGTCCAACCAGAATAGACAATCCCCGCGTAGTTTTATTTTCTCTTGATGCACTTAGTTTGCTAAATATTCGTCATGAGGTTGACCATCTTGATGAACAAAACTGCAAAGAGAAAACAGGAGAAACAAATCATCTAGTTGAATATTTGTCAGGAAACAAATTATGGCCTGGTAGTGATCCCACAGCTCATTGTTATTGTGGGTATCAATTTGGTAATTTTGCCGGTCAACTTGGCGATGGTGCAGCTATGTATGTAAGCCTTTTTCGAATTTTTATTTTCCTAAGCGTATTTAAGTGTGCGTAATATTCAAAAACAAAACGTAACATCATTTTGGAATTTTTTTATAATCACTCATTATACGTTACTTCACTATACTAGTTGGTTATGGTAAGCGACTCGGCAATATGATTAAAAGCGTTGGATTATTGGAAACAATTGAAAGGACGCCCAAATGTTCTCATCGTAAATAGATTTAGATCACTAATGACCTCTCAGTCAGTCAGTTGGCTACAACGCAGGACCAGGCACATACATCGACACCCGAACTAATGATAGGGAGTGAAGTAGTCGAGCGTGTAAACCGCTTCACTTATCTTGGGAGTCTAATCGGATCTTGTGGTCCGGTGTTTGACGAAATTTCAGTACGGATACAGGAGGCCTGTCTACCTTTTCCCAAATTGTGTCATTTATGGCGTAGGCGGGATATCCGTCTATGCACCAAAAGGACGGGTTTACGGTGCACCAATTCGTTCTGTCCTACTTTATGACAGTGAAACATGGCCGGTAAGAGTAGAGAATATTCGTAGGTTATTAGTATTCGATAATGGGAGTCTTCGAAGCATTGCTCATATATCCTGGGACCACCGAGTAAGTGATTCAGTTGTCTGGAACGGGTGCTAGGTAAGGATGGCAAATCGACATGATGAACTAGTGAAGCTAAGTCAGTTGAGATGTCTGTAATATGTGTTATGTATGCCCAACCACCTGCTGCCCCGATGTGCGATGTTTTATGGTGTCGGATTTGTTTGGAAGAAAGTTAGGGACGGCCAGACCAAAACTTGGCACAAATCCATGAAGTCATTGACAAATGGACTGTGCCATGTTAGTAGGTGTAGACTAACTGGTTACAATCCGGGAGATGATAGCAGCTGACGGTTAGAGACCTTGAATGACATGGCTCAAAATCGTTTCGAATGACGCACGTGCATCTACTCTTTGTGTTCTCCCAAATTCTTATCTTCTGAATTCTTCATGTCCCTTTCTTTTTCTCTTTCCAAAATTTTTTCACTGGGTTATACTTCTTCATCGAGTTTGCCCTGAATTCGCCGATGTTGAAAAAATAAGTCCCATTAACATCTAGAACAGTCATTATTAATATCTTGTTCATATCATTCAATATGCCGCGTGAAGAATGTATGTATTTTGGTACAGTTAAAGAAACAAGTACAGTAAAACAATCCCTGGTACAATTGGTTATGATAATATTTGCTTCCATTTCACCAGTCGCGTTCTCTTGATAAAAGTAGGTCACTACAGCTGTTCAGGGAAATCTGATGAAAGTTATTTCTACTCAGTATTTTGTAATTAGTCATTGGAGTAAAAGGCTGAAATGTTGAGAGCGTGTTTAGTTTATGCTTATTATAATCACTATTAACCGCAAAACTTACGCATAAGTGTTGTGAAAGAACCTCTTCGGGTTTTATCATAAATGCATTCATACACGAGAATTTCAACAGTGTTTACATAATATCTACAATATCTTAACTCGTTCTGCAATGTTCAGATGTTTATTGACTTCATGTCATATTGTTTTAATAAATCTTTGTGAAAGTGAATCGTATTAAGTAGTAGTATTATTTGTATTACACATAGACTTTAAAATACACCACCGTTGTGCTAGGACCTGACAGTACAATGAGAGTTTAAGCAGTAACAGTTTAGTATATGGAGATGAGAGTTTTAATTAGTAGCGGAAGATCATGAGTTATCGATCTTTAGGGGTCTTATATATGTGTCAAAATTAAAACGAATCTAGGAAGTCGATTTATTTAAGTAGGTGTAATACTAAGTTTCATGTTTCGCCAATTAAAAATTCTGGAACAATAAAATATCTTCGGTGTGTCAATCATAATGATAACGAATATGAACATAAGTGGATTCGGGATATTTGTATGAAATATCCGAGGGTTCTGCTTCGCTTTACAGTCAATTAAATAAAAACCGTACCCCCATAAATCATTTGTAATATTTCACAAGAGTGATTAGCAAATTACGAGGAAATTTTATTTAGGTTTGTGTATGAATGACTTTTGATCACACGGAGGTCACGTTAATAGGCTCATAGCTTGCAAAAACGCTACTTCATCTCTTTTTGAATCCGGGAGCATAAACAAGTGCTTTAAACACAGACTGATAGAATACATAGTCGACACATCAGTTTGTCAGTCCAAGGCAAAATAATGCGAATTCTCTACTGCTAACTGTTAATGGTCAAGCGTTACTTGCATCGAAATGATTTATTTCTGAAACATAAATAAGTCGTGGTGCTTGCGGTAGCGTTACGTTAGTTTTTTCAGATTCACTTCGGAGGTGAATGACAGGTTCGAAATTTGTAGTCATCTGAACGAAAATTAAGCTTATGTACCATGAAGCTGAAACTTCAACCAACTAATTATAATTATAGCGATACATAAGATGTATGAGAATATATTGTGCATAAATTATAACAATAAACGAAATACACCCATTGTGAGATTAAATAAAAAAGAAAGATTAGTTCAGCAAAGAGTTCCCTTTTTCGGCGAATTCATTTTCAAAGCTGTGCAATCGCAAATGTAAATACTTATTAATACAGGGTGGTAATAATACTGATAATCAACTTCTGTTGAACATGGTGACAGTGAGGCTAAATAAACAAAGGTATTACAAAAAAATTTAAAATAAGGAAAGTTTAATAATCGTTTGATAGTTAGTGGCTTAAGTATTCATCGGGTAAGGATGGCTCAGCATGATAAAATAAAATGTTGAAACAGAGATGAAGTGTAGTCGGAATGATCGTGGAAATAAAAACAAACCGAATGAGGATAAAAAATTTCAACGGAAGATAGAAGGTGAAGTAGGTGGCTGTAAGAGAACAAGAGTATGAAGAAATAGAAAAATTTTAATACATTAAGACTATGGTAGAAGAAGAGGTTGTACCAGTCTCTTATGTACACATAATTCTGGTTTTTAAAAATGTATGGCTTTCGCCTCGGCAGTGCAAAGAAAATGCAGCCTTATTGTCCTAGGAAGACTTCTACTTACCTTGAAGATGACCTTGAACGAAGAGTCTGTCTTGATTGAGTGAACTGTGTTCACAAGGTGTTCGATTATAGAACTTTCTATTGAGCCGTCGCCTCCTCTTTTTAGCCACGCCGGACAATGTTCTTGAATTCATTTGGATAAAGTACGCATTGAACGACCTATATACTTAGCTCCACAAGAGCAGGTAGATTAGTAAATGCACATTGAGTTGGTCAGATGCGATAATTTATCTTTCAGATTTCTGGTGAACAGTGATCGGCTGGAGAATAATATTCGCAATGCTGATGAGAAGAATGTTTTCTTTAAAGAATCCGAAACTCTTCTCTATAAGACATATGCGGCTCTATCACCCTGTGAAAATAAGAATATATATTTGCGATTGTACAGCTTTGAAAATGAATTCGCCGAAAAGAGAACTCTTTGCTGAACAAATCTTTCTTTCTTATTTAACATAAATTATAGGCGAAAAGCAGACATTTTCACATGGATACATGGAAAAAACCTACAAGTTTAGCATTTGAACATCTATTTTAATTATCCAGTCTCCTTGAACAAAGCTGTCATTGTTGGACAGATGTTCCAGATCAGACGATTTCTGGTCAAATTTCTGACGATGTCATATCGGATGTTGACAGTCTTATTGATTCGTATTTCCAATAAACTTGTGGAAGATTTTTCAAAACGAATGAAAAACAGATGACAAAATACCAGATGTTATTCGTCCCTGCAGTGTAATTGTTTTCAGTGAAAACCTTGGTAAATATGAAGCACATGTTTCCAGTGAATTCAACTCTATGTAAGGTATTGATTACCACATAAAAATTGTTTTTTCTATTCGTGTACCAGACACTTCTTTTGAATTCGCTTGTCGGTGTGTGCAATATGTCTTTAATGATTCGTATTCTGATCACATTCCGAATGTTATTTATAAGTCAGTTTCAACATATCTCTGTGTAAACTGCATACACTTACTGATCTTTTCGAGCACAAATCACGTATAGATATCCCATTCAAGTACTTAAGATTCAAAGAGAGCATACATGAGTCATATGTTTAGTTACTGTCGAGTTGAAATTTAAAATATCCCGATTCGTAATGTAACTGTAATAATATCATCGTATTTTTTATATGGAAAGTGAAAAAAACCATGCATAATATCACACTGTAGCAGTAAATAAACTCCCAAACAAATAGTCCTGTAAGTCTTCGACATTTGATACTGACCGCATTGGTTTTAAGGGAATCACCTGGCATGAAGCGCTCGATTACGCATCCGCATCATATCACGAATTGGTAGATCGTGCTGCGCATCTCCCTTCTATTGTTGGTCAACTAAGATCAAATGCTTCTCGAAATATTGATAGCCTATAAAATATATTTTCAATTGTTTCGTGATCATTGACTAGTTTGCAGCTGTTCCAGTGTATTATTATTATTATTAATGGCTTTATCCAATATTATATTTTGGTACAATATAGAATTCTCAGCACAGGGTATTTCAACAAGTTACTTACTGAACAACGAACAAAAAAGTAGTAGCAAATACAAAAATAAATAAATGAAAAGCCAAAAAAACTGTGGAGTGAAGAATGTATACATGGTCAGTAAACCAACAATTTACACGGAAGTAGACGTACTTATGATGTGCTAAAACGTCTCTTATTGCAAACACTATGGAGTATGATGACAGTCGTCAGATTGAAAATAATGCTCTGCACACTATTTCAATGATCGTTTGAATTGAGCAGGCGCATTACAATGATGAAAATTACATATACATCATCACTATAGAGCACTGTGCGTTACAGATATTTCCAATCCACGCAATCCATTATCTGATGAGAGGGTTCAACTCCATACTTAAAAGTCGTCAAGTTGCAGTTCGGTAGTTACGAACCGACTGACATGTAGTGGTATTGAGCCCCAACCACACAATCCTTAAGGGTGAGCACTAGACGGTCGGGGAAATAGATATTCATCATTTAACGCGTAGTAAAACCCAACGATGGAGAAGGCGGGAATAATGAATCGAATTCAAATTTATCAGATTGCATGGCTCGGTCATTCAGGCGTTGTCTCTGTTGAATT